AAAGAGGGGTGGTTCTGGACTCCCGACCCCACCCTGTGCTCATGTGTATGTGTGGAAGCAGGAGATGGATGTTGGGTGTTTTTCTACAAGCACATGCCACATCATCATCATCATCATGAGACAGGATCTCCACTGTAACCTGGAACTCACTGATTTGGTTATTAGCCTGGCTGGCTAGAGCCTCTAGGATCCTTTTGTTTCCACCTCTCTGCTTCTGCACCTGACCTTTTTTAAATTTTAATTTATTTTTATTTTATGTGAATAAGTGTTCTTCCTACATGTGTGTCTGTATATCATGTGCATGTTGGATTCCCTCGGAGTGAAGCTGTGAACAGTTGTGAGCTGTTATGTAGGTGCTGGGAACTGAACCCAGATCCTCTGGAAGAGCAACTAGTGCTCTTAATCCCTGAGCCACCTCTCAAACCCAACTTTTTTTTTTAGATTTATTTATTTGTATGTGTGTGAGTGCCTGGTACTAATGGAGACTAGAAGAGAGCATTAGAACCCTTGGAACTGGAATTATAGGTAGCTGTGAGTCACCATGTGGACTCTCGGAATTAAATCAGAGTCCTCTGTAAGAGCAGCAAGTGCTCCTAACTGCTGAGCCATCTTCTACACCCGGCTTTTTAATGGGCTAGTTGGATCTGAACTCAGGCTTTCATACTTGCACAGCAAGCACTTTCACCCACCCTGCCTCAGAGGGTTTTGATGAGGAGAGTTAAATGAATCCCAGAACTCTTTTTTGGTTCTCCTAATTTCTTGTTTGCAAAACTCTTCAGATTCTGGCTTCAAGAGGATTTGCTTCTTCCCTGGGACATCATCAGTTGAATTAAACTGTCCACACAAATTTCCCTCTGTTGGGGTTGCACGTACTCAGTTGGGTACCCACCCCTCCTTGTTTGAGACAGCCCTCTGTGGCTTGTTTCATGTCACCCTGAATGGTCTCTGAAAACCTCCTTTGTCCCCACCAGCCATCCACTTCAGAAGTGATGGTGTTATTTTGAGGCAGGGTTTGGGATGCCATATAGAATAAAGCTGTGATTGTATTAAAAGCCAGAGGAGGATAAGCAGCTAATACAAACACCAAGAGTGCCTAAGCACACGCTGTACCAAGGGAGAAAACAGGACAATGCCTTGCTGGCTCTGCTTTGTTTCTGAGGACTGAGCACTCACATGCAGTCCTGACACAATTGCTAGCGAGGCTGACTGGGTTCCTGTTAGGCAAAGTTACTAAATCGTGGGGCCCAGGGCTCTATCTCTTGATAGGTCCCAGGCTAAGTGTCTACCATCCCTTGTAGATGGGGGAGGGCCCAGGTAATTGGGTCTTGCTCCAAAAGTAGATAGTTTATTCTGGGCCAAGTATGTTTAGCCATGTCCAAGGAACATGGATTGAGAGTACTCAGAATGACATGTCCTACTGTGGAAATCCATACACAATTCTTCTCTTCTCTTCTCTTCTCTTCTCTTCTCTTCTCTTCTCTTCTCTTCTCTTCTCTTCTCTCTCTCTCTCTCTCTCTCTCTCTCTCTCTCTCTCTCTCTCTCTCTCTCTCTCTCTCTCTCTCTCTCTCTCTCTCTCTCTTTCTTTTTTTGAGACAGGATTTCACTATGTAGCCCTGGCTGGTCCTGACCTCACTATGTGGAGCAAGCTGGCCTCCTCTAGATCTACTTGCCTTCCCAGTGACGGGATTAAAGGCAGGAGTCACTACATCCTGACTTAGATAAATTTTTATAAGTCACAGAACAAAAGAAAGTCATAAATCAATGTGTTTACCAAATGCCTTTGTGGGGACATCAGTTAGGTAAGTTATAGAAGAGTGGGGACATCTCTGTTATAGCCTCAGATGCTCTCTGATTGTGGTTTTCAGCTTTTAGGTTGGTGGAAGCTAGTGGTTTGGTGAGTTAACACATCCTAAAGATTTTATTTGATAGTCAAAAGGAAGTTAGGTTAGATACACTGGTTAGTAATAAATTACCATTTTTTCAAAAGACAGGGTCTCTCTGTAAATCAGGCTTGCCTTGATTTCAGAGATCTGCCTGCCTCTGTTGAGATTAAAGGTGTGCACCATCACACCCAGCAATAAATGACTGTTGTTTTTTTTTTTTTTGAGGCAGGGTATCTCTGTATTGTTTTGGAGGCTGTCCTGGAACTCACTCTGTAGTCCAGGCTGGCCTAGAACTCACAGAGATCCGCCTGCCTCTGCCTCCCAAGTGCTGGGATTAAAGGCATGTGCCACCACCGCTGGCTGCAATAAATGACTATTAAGGGGATTATAGATATCCAAAGATGACTTGCAACATTCCAACATCATGAAGTTATAGTCATTTAGTGTGTGGAATTTTAACAGAGACAGGCTTTTCCAGGGAATTGCAGTTCCCAGTACTTAGAGACCCTGGGGACATCCCACAAACTGGTGCCTTTCTCAGTTCCTGAACCCTAGAAATCCAAGTTTCTCTCCTTAACTTCCAACCCACACCACATCCTTTTGCTCTGATAAATTTCCCATGCTTCCTCTTAACCACCATGTAGCTCTCAGTGGACAGAGTCACGTGCTCTGGGACTTAGGTTATTTCAAGAACTATTCCTCACCACAAGGAGCACTGAAATGAATCAGGAAACGGTGGACAGGAACAGGCAGGCCTCAGCTGAAAATGAATGCTGGAACTTTCCACCAAAAATATTTCCCACATTTCACTTTCTTTAGTTTTGATGACTACTACAACTTGGATCATTTTAGCCAGATGCCTCTGACTGACCAGGAAAGTAAATAAACTTTCGCATGATCCTTTAGGAACGCTCTTCCTTCCTTCCTTCCTTCCTTCCTTCCTTCCTTCCTTCCTTCCTTCCTTCCTTCCTTTTTTCTTCCCCCTCTCTCCCTCCCCCTCCCTCCTTTCTTCCTCTCTCCCACTCCCCCATCTCCACTCTCCTCCTCTCCTGTCTCCTTCCTCCTTTTCCTCTGTGGGGAGGCATAGAAAAGCATCATTCTGACTCAAACTGAGGAAAACCCGAGGGAAAAGGGAGCTCTTAACATTCAGCAAGGACTTTGGTTGAGTCTTCCAGTCCCCTCTAACTCCCAGCTGTCTTGTGTATTGCTCTCTGCTGTCTGTGTTCCTACTTGGTAAGCCACGGAACAGTTTTATTGTGCATGCATGTGTCCACACGCTTGAGGTCTGAGGGACAACTTTGGGAGAGTTGGTTCCTTCATTTCATCCCACGGAGGTAGAGTTTCTTATGTTTCTGTTGATGCAGCAGCACTGGGTACTCTAGGCTAGCAGACCAGAGGGCTTCTGGATAATTCTCCGGTTGCTGCCACTGCCTTCCATCTCACTGTAGGAGTGCTGGGACCAAAGAATGGCAAAACATCTGACTTTTCATGTGGGTTCTGGGGACTGAACTCAGGCCCTCAGGCATGGGTGGCAGGTTCTTTTACCTACTGAGTCATGCAATTGGATCTTCTATGGAATTTTCTTTTGATATTTATTCTTATTTTATGGATGTTGTTGAACCTTGGTCTTCTATAAGAGTGGTCAGTGCTAACTACTGAGTCATCGCTCCAGCCCCACTTCTATGAAATCTTAAGAGCTCTGTTATGTTAATATAAACAACAATATTCAAGAAGAAAATCTGTTAGATATCTATAGGTCAGTCGTGTCTAGTTATATTCATGATATCCACTTTAATGAAGGTAATCGGGTATGTAATACTTTTAGGCAGCTTCTAAATGTAAATGGATCCACAATCTTGTCCAGCTCAGAGGATCAGACCTCAGGGCTCCCATGAGACAACGCATTTGAAATGGTTGTTGGGGACCTTTCAGTCTTATTTTAGACAGTCTGCTATGAAGGCGATAAAAGACAATAGCTACAGTGCATTGGGTCCAGCTCTTCGGACTGTGCCAGAAGAAAAGGGGCCACGGAAGTTAAATGAAACTCTGGTAGTTATTTTGGTTTCAATTCTGCATCCTCCACTTTTTGTTTCTAGAGAAAGTGTGACAGAGCCCTTTGTGAATTCCAATGTCAAGACTTGTCACTATTTTTTTTTTTTAAGCAGGCAAAACTGGACAAACCTAAGAAGTTTGGGGACTGGAAAAAATGCGGTTCTCACAGTGAGCCACACACAGTAGTCTTTGCAGAGGGGCAGATGACCCTCTTTAGAGACAGAAGCTCCAGACAGGATAAAAAGGGACGAAGGAAAAAAAAAAAGCCGGGCGTTGGTGGCGCACGCCTTTAATCCCAGCACTCGGGAGGCAGAGGCAGGCGGATCTCTGTGAGTTCGAGGCCAGCCTGGACTACCAAGCGAGCTCCAGGACAGCCTCCAAAGCCACAGAGAAACCCTGTCTCGAAAAACCAAAAAAAAAAAACAAAACAAAACAAAAAAGGGACGAAGGTATACTTTAGTTGAAGTAATGCCTTGACTATCTTTACCATGCCAGCAAATAAAAGACGAGAATCCAGCTCTGCCAGAGGCCAGGATAGGAGCCTTCAATGTATGGAAAAAGAATTCGAACCTCACGGTTCTTGCAAAAGACTGGTTGACTACGTGTGCGCGTGAGGGCCATAACTCATTTGTAGCACACGCTATTTACGTACGTTCATGCTTCTGAGGTTTCGCCTTACATAAACCTTGCTTAGCTGCAGAAGCCAGACCGTTTGAGGACGTTAGGGTGGAACTGAAGATATCCCACACGACCGGCCTTCTAGTTTCTCTACTCGATGTTCTCTAGCTCCTCTGAGCCACGTAACGCTCTGCATTACTAAGATATGCTCCATGTTTCTATTTTGGGGTTCTTTTTACTTGTGAGGTGAGACTGGAAGACCCTTACTTACGGGTACCTTCCGAATCCCTTAGCTTTTCGCCTGCAGCACAGCGGCCAGTGGGCGCACTTCCTGCCGGGAGGTGGGCGGTACTGGACGCCTCCTCTCTCAAGCTCCGCCCCCCAGGCGTCCCGCCCTCCCCACCCCTCCCTGCGGGCGAGGCTCCGCGGGGGCGGGGCTGTGAGCCGTGGGCGGCGTGGCGCTGCTAGCTGGGCGCGGGGCCGGAGGTGCCGGGGCTCGCCGCGGTTTAGCGTGTGGAGCTGCGGTGTGCCTCTCGGGAAAGCCCAGCCTTGAGGGCAGGAAAGCATCGGGTGGCGGCGGCGGCGGTAGCGGCGGCGGCGGCCGCCACCGGCTAGTGCGGGGCCTCGGGCCGAGTGGGGCCGAGCGCTGCGGGGGGAAGCGGCGGCGGCGGCGGCGGGTCCCGAGCGCTGCGCGCCATGGCGGGCGGGCCCCCCAAGGCCCTGCCGTCCACGGGGCCCCACTCCCTGCGCGACATGCCGCACCCGCTGGCCGGCTCCAGCAGCGAGGAGGCCATGGGAGGCGACAGCACGCCCAGCCCGGACCTACTGATGGCCCGCAGCTTCGGTGACAAGGTGGGGTGCTCGGATCTGGGGACTCCTGGGGCGGAGAGAGGAAGGATGATGGATCTAGGGCCACTCCTGACACCGGGCCGCGCTCACCCTACCTCTCCTTTTCCGGGGATTAGGCGTGCTCGGGTCCCTAGAGTCCTTAGCCAAAGCACGGCCTCTCGCTGCCCCCGCGGGGTCGCAGAAGCAGGCTGAGTGGCCAGAGGGCATGTGTTTCTCTGGCTGAGACTGGCCCAGAGCGCGGGTGACAGCTGGCGGGGAGGGGTTCAGGTTGCAGCACGCATGTGGGGGCCCGGAGCTGGTGCTGCGGTGTTTGGTTGGCCCTTGTGTCCTGGGAAGGGGGACCCTCGCCCCTCTAGGTGCATTCCTTGAAGAGGACTGCGAAATAGGAATAACTTGTTGGCGCCTCCAGTTTCGCCTGACTGCAAAGAAGCAATAGTTAATGGCTAATGGCTTTCCGGGGTGGGACTGAGCAGCCTTGCTCTTCTTCTCCCCAGTCGGTCATGTGGGGAGTGATCTTTGTTTAGGTTTGCTGTTTGCCCCAGGAGTCACCTGACTCCGACCTCAGCGGCGGCGGGAGGAGAGTCTGGCTGTGGTTTTCTGTCTAGGGCTTCATTCACCTCCTTTAGCCGACCACATTGATTAGGCTTGGCAGTGACAGGTTTTGTGGTTGACGGAAAGCAAGCTTGCCCTTTGACCTTCTTTGTGCGCAGGGAGGTTCTTGGTTGTGGAGCTACACTATCCTGCCGCTGCCTTGAGAGACAGCAAAGTCCAGTGAGGAGGAAGAGGCAGCATCTCCCCCGCCCCCACCGCCATTTTCAGCTGTGGCCAGGATTTGAGCCATGATCTGCACTCCTGCCGCCACTTAGTCATGAGTTGTAGACATTCCAGTTGTTCTTAGCATTTGAGATCAGGGTTTCTTCCTCCTACTAAAATACTAAATGAATTCCTTCTTTCCTCAGCATTAATGGAATTGAGAGACTTAACTTTTCTTCTTCCCTTAGATGGGAGGGCATATTGCAAGGGTAACAGTGCCCATGGGAGAGTGTGACTTCAGCCTTCAGAATGACCAGGGAGTGATATATATTTATAAAGCATAAGCTAATGAAATTGATGGATTGAACAGCTCAAAATGTGTTCTTGCATGCGTGCCTGTACCTCTGTGGTTATTGTTTTTTTAATAGATTTTTTTTTTTTTTGGTTGTTCGAGACAGGGTTTCTCTGTATTGTTTTGGAGGCTGTCCTGGAACTCGCTTGGTAGACCAGGCTGGTCTCGAACTCACAGAGATCCGCCTGCCTCCGCCTCCCGAGTGCTGGGATTAAATGCGTGTGCCACCAACGCCCGGCTAGACTTTTGATTATGTGAAAACATAAGAAGCTTGCAGACCCTTTGCTCACGTTTGATATTCAAAAAGTGATTGTTGAATGCCTGAATGATAATTTGTTCTTTTCTTATTAGCAAAAAAATTGATTGTTTTTGATGGATGTTGAATGAGAACTAAAGTTAAACCTTTAATTGATGTCTTGGTTCTAGGTAGGAAATGGATTTCTTTCTTACTGCTGTGTAACAAATTACCCCAGAACTTAGCACCTGAAAATATTGTCTTTGGGTCAGGAACCTGGGTGGTTCTGCGTCAAACCTTTAGGAGGCTGCCATCATGTGAAGGCTGGATTAGGAGGGTCTAACCTCGATTCTAGGCAGTTTCTGCCGGAGAAAGTGATTCAAGCTAGCCCAGGACTCCAACCAGCCTATATAAACCGATCACCAAAGTGACATACCTCTGCTGTACTCTATTGGTCATAGAGGAACACTGGTACATGGGAGAGAGTGTGAATCCTCGAGAATACAGTGTGTGTGTGTGTGTGTGTGTGTGTGTGTTGTGTCTTGCCAAGTGCTAGTCTACCACTGAGCTATATCCCTTGCCTCCCATACAGCTATTTTAAATACTTGCTTATGCTCCACTCTTGGAATAGTTAATTCAGAAATGCAGCCGTTTTACTAATAGGTACTCTGGGCAGGTGAGTTCTCTGTCCCACTAAGATCTGAGTGGTTGGCAGGAAATGAGACCCATGTCTAATTACGGACTGTTTCCTCCACAGGATCTTTTCTTTGAGAGAGTCTTGAAGGAACTGTTATTAATTATTCAACATTTAATAAGTATCCTAACAACTGTGGGGAGCATCTAAATGGCACAAGTCTCAAGGGCCTGATTTACAATCAGCCACTTTTCCTTAGAGGCTAAGCATTGGAGTTTCCTTCTGATTGGGAGTAATAGTCTCTTATCTTGGCATACATGTGTTCTCATAGATTTTTTAAAAAAAGATATTTATTTATTTATGTGTATGTGTGTGTGTGTGTGTGTTTCTGTGTGAATGGATGTGGTGTGTGTGCAGTTCCCCTCAGAGGCCAGAAGAGGGTGTTGGTTTGTCTGGAGCTGGTTCTGTGACTTCCTGACAGGGAGTACCCTTAACTGCTGAGCCATCTGTCCACCCCTCCCCAATATTTGTAAAGAGAAGCTAGCAAACCCCAGAAGTGAGGGCAGTGGAAGGGAAGCTCCCCTTGCCTGTGTTTGCCTTGTTTGGGTAGCATGTATGTTGTTGGAGGTAAAGTCACGTGCCGTGATCAGTCTTAGGAGAAGAAGCCTTTCCCTGTCTCTTTAGATAACTGGGATTTTCATCCTAGCTGGCAAGGATTTAGGCTTGGTTCTGGGTAAGGGGAATGAAGGTTTTGACAGGCTGAACATAGTGCCAGGTTGTTGTACAGAGGGCCAGGTTACTGTAGAGTGGGGAAATTCTTTCTCTGGCTTCAGGTGGTGTAATCAACAGTGTACTGACACTTCTGCATGGCCTCTTTGGTTCTGGGGTAGGGAAGAATGTGGTGGATGTGCCATCTGTCCAAATTGTGGTACAATGAAAAGAATTCTTCTCGTCTACCGAGGGCCGAATGGATGAATTCTTCTGATGTTAGCTACCCCAGGCCTTATATCATTTCATTTTTCCCCCTCTCCCTAAAATGTTAATAAATAAAACCACTTCACATATCTCTCTTCTTTTTTTTTTTTTTTACCTTTGTCCACATATTCTGAGCAGTTTCTTCTGTGACTCAGCCTCCACTGGAGTGTGCATTCTGAAGCTGAATACTTGACCCCTTCTAACCCCCAGTCTTTGGTTAACACTTCTCTCCACATCCTATCCTCTTCACCACCTACTTCCTGACCCTTCCTGCCACCAAGGTGTCTCTCCCTTTTACATTTCATTCATTGGGTGTGGGAATCCAGATCCTCCCCTTTCTTTCTTTCTTTTTTTTTTTTTTCTCTTGAGACAGGGTTTCTCTGTATTATTTTGGAGGCTGTGCTGGAACTCGTTCTGTAGACCAGGCTGGCCTCGAACTCACAGAGATCCTCCTGCCTCTCTCTGCCTCCCGAGTGCTGGGATTAAAGGCGTGCACCACCAATGCCTGGCTCAGATCCTCCCTTTTCATCTTTGATTCCTTCCCCCCCCTTTTTAAAATCTTTAATCTTTAAACCTAATGCTACATACTGAATTCTAGGACAGAACAGCCAGGAGACCCTGTCTTAAAACAAAACAAAGAAAACACAATAAAACCCAGCAAATAACAATAATAAAAAAATAATAATAAATACATATTTTTTTGTTTTTTGTTTTTGTTTTTTACGAGACAGGGTTTCTCTGTATTGTTTTGGAGGCTATCGGTCCAGCCCGGCGTCGAACTCACAGAGATCCGCCTGCCTCTGCCTCCCGAGTGCTGGGATTAAAGGCGTGCGCCACCACCGCCCGGCTAATAAATACATATTTTAAAGGAAGCTAACATCCAGGCAATGGTAGTGCATACCTTTAATCCCAGCACTCGGGAGGCAGAGGCAGGCAGATCTCTGTGAGTTCGAGACCATCCTGGTCTATAAGAGCTAGTTCCAGGACAGCCTCCAAAGCCACACAGAGAAACCCTGTCTCAAAAAACCAAAAAAAGAAAACTAACTAGCACAGTGTATCAAGTAAGCAGTTCTCAACTCAGTAGCCTAGGAGTTCAGCTTTACCTTCTTCCTGCTCAAGACCCTGGAATGTCCCCCTGGCACTCAAAGTAAAGTCAGGTGTTCTCAGGAATCCTTCCAGGCCAGCATGGTTTGACCCTTCCCCTGACCCCTCCAGGCTGTTCCCTGACTAACCCTAACCTTCTTAGGCCTCTGCCCCACTGTGCCCTCCATCTGACGTTTACTGCAGCCATTCGCCACCTGCCTCACTTCCTTAAGTCTATTTAAGTCTCAGATTCTCAGAAAGCTCTACCCAAGTCTAGTGCCCAACAGCCAGCGGTCCTGAAGTCCCCTTCCCACCCTGCTTTCTCCCTTCTGTAGCATCTACGACATAACGCTGTGCATACTCGGACAGCAGAGGTCTTGCTGGTTTAGTGAATAATCTTGTGTTCCCAGAACAGTGTCTGACTCCCTCAGGTATTTTCTGAATGAACAAAAAGAATGAAGTGTGCTCCAAGGAGCAGGGTGGGGATGTTGCTTAATCGGTTAAGTGCTTGCCTAGCATGTCCTAAGGCCTGGAGTTCAATCCCCACCAGAGCAGGGCATGATGGTGGTACACACCTGAAATACTCTGGGAGGGGAGGCAGATGAATCAGGAGTTTAAGGTCACCCACAGCTATATAGAGAGCTCAAGGCCAGCCTGTCTTTAAAAAAGCAAGGGAATAAGAGTTTGGGGAGATGGCTCTGCTCATAAAGTGCCTGCTGTGCAAGCATGTGGACTCGAGTTCCAGTCCCCTGCAGCCATGTGAAGCACGGTTGCACACATCAGTAACTCTGGGAGCAGGAAAGGAGTATCTTTGGGACACATAATCAGTCAGTCTAGCCGAACTGGTGAGCTGAGGGTTCAGCAGAGAGACTGTCACAAAAAATAAGTTGGAGCGTTCTGGATTTGATAGCGCACACCTTTAATTCCAGCACTATGGAGGCACAGACTGGTGTATCTGTGAACTGGAGGAC